ACATATAATATTCGTGTCTTAATGTTGAAATTACAAATAAGGAATTAAACGTTCACATAGCGAGGATCATCGTTCTCCTAGTACAATGAAAATCTAACCTAGCATGGATAAAATTAAAGAACAAGAAAAATATTTAGGAGAAGAAATCACCCAATTCTTGAATTTAAATCTTGCAATCTTGAATCTTTGAGTAAAATCCCTCGTTTTTGCCTTCTTCCTACTTTTCAATGCCTTTTTTTCTCTCTCAAATAATGCGTAAAACCCTTATTTTGGACGAGATTATGGTTATATAGGGTGTCAAAATACCTTTCCACAAGAGATTTGGAAGAACAAGGAAACCAGAAATTTTCGTCGAAAATGAACCATGAGACAGCATGCTTATAACAAATTAGCAGAAACTTTTCANGTCAAAATACCTTTCCACAAGAGATTTGGTAGAACAAGGAAACCAGAAATTTTCGTCGAAAATGAACCATGCGACAGCATGCTTATAACAATTTAGCAGAAACTTTTCCCTGTTACCTCTTGGGCGACAGCACGAAGTTTCTACCATGCGACTGCATGGTAGAAAGTATTTTCCATTTGGTTCACTTTGGTCTCCAAATTTTATTTTATTTACTTTTTGGCATTGCTCTCTTCTCCTTCTTCTTCTAGCATTCCATGATACCACAATGTGCTACTTAGCCTAATTCCATGATCGATTCACCATTCACATCATCTTCTAAATAACTGTATTTTGGTCCTCGGAGTTTCATTTTCTTCCAATTTGTTCCTTTTTCGCTCGCTTTTGCATACTATTCATTCCATCCATCATTGTAATCCTACAAATACAAATTTTATCGAAATAAGTCATATTTCAACATATACATCAACAATGCTCATGTTTTGTGGCCTAAATAAGTGCAAAAAATGCACTTATCACTTTTTCGACGTACTATTACAAGTTTGTTATGCCTACATGTTGCTGTTGTCATTGCAAAAAGTGTTATTAACAAGATTAGCTTCATTTTCTTCAAATTTATCATGTGCGCTTACCTCGTATTTTCAATCTTATCCTACAAAGAAGCATTCTCCACTGTCAGTGATTTCAAATTCTCAATGATTTCAACAATATATATTGTCTTCCACAAGAGACGATGTTGTGAGAAAGAAATGTCAGCTTGCACTTCCATCTGAGTTTCTTCTCTCCGTCTCTTAAGATTAGCATCATTGTTTGGCAGATATTTACTGCATTCAATGACTTCCACTTCCAATGCTTTCAATTTCTCTGATTTCTCTCCGATCTGACTCATAATTCAGACCTTAAGTTGTTCAAGTTTTTTCCACAGGCGATGCCAATTTGTTGACGATGGAAATTGAATCAACAAATTCTCTTATATTGCCATAACTTTCACCTCCAAATCTTATTAATTTTGATGCTTAAACAGAAGTTAGAAATGAAATGGCTATTTGGGAGGGAGATGTTTGAATTGACGCATTTTTCTTGAAATGTGAGGGTATTTATAAATTTTCTTCCAAGTTTTGGGATAATTTGTTCATTTTGAGAGATTCACAGATAGCTGCTCTTTATTGGTTATTTTATAACTGATTCGGTTAAGAGTCATACTTTATTTATCAGCTGACATGCCTTTTATTAACAGCATGTAGCTAGCCTAGATAAGAGAATAGTTTGTTAGCTTTAGACGAGCCTTTTGTGTATTTGCTCCCCCTGCATGTCAACTTATTAAAATGAATACAATGAGCAACCTTTTATAGGCTTCACAAAACATGTCTATAATATGATACATGTATTGGATATTAAATGCAAATTAATCCCCAAAATAATTCTTTTTTTTAACTGCAGAACTTTATTCAATCACCCTCATTTATGGCGAAGAAATACCTTGGAAACAAAACCAACAAAATAAACCAAGTTTATCCATACGAATAATACTTTCTAACAAATTTTGCATTTGATCTAGATGCATGTACTTCACGGTGGACCATCCGCCCTTGTCGGCCTAGAAGATTTGCTACTCTATTTGCTTCTATACAGTGATGAGAAATAGTGAAATTGATGCGACTAATCAATTTTAATAACTCATCCCAATAATCCAACAAATACCAAACCATGCCTAAACAATTTGTTAACTAGTTTACCACTACTTCTAAATCACACTCAATCTCTACCTATTGAAAACTCATCTCTTGACATAGGTCCACCCCAGTCATGACAGCACGCAATTCTGCTTCACTATTTTTTCCATAACCATATGTAACAAAGAAACCAGCAACCAAGTTACCATAATGATCCTGAATCACTCCCTTACCTCCACAAGGTCCCAGATTACGAAAACAACTCCCATCTACATTGAGTTTTACCCAACTAGCAGCAAGTTTCCTCCAAGAAACTAAAAGAGTTGGCTTACGCTCCTTGGAACACATAGGCAACTCTAAAGCTTTGAGAAGTTCATAGTTTGTTTTACTCAGCTTTGAAACTTTGACAATTTCTTCAGCTAGGAGACGCAACCAAACCTTTATGAATAAATTAGTGTATTTAATCTATGCATGCATAGTTCCAAAAGACATGAAAGAACTTGTTAAAGTAAATAATGAACTTGACTAATAAATGATGTTTAATTTTCAACATCTCCCTTAAAAATCATTTATTGTAAAAATGCATCAATCTTCAACGACTTGGTGAAAGTATCTACGATTTGGTCTCGAAATTTTATGAACTTGAATTTCCTTTGTTTGTCAACACTATCTCGAGCACACTGATACATCATGTCGATGTTCTTGCTTCGATCATGGAAAACAAGATTCTTGGCCAACGATAATGCCGACTTGTTATTAACAAAAACTTTGGTAGAATTACTTTGTTGCAAATTAATGTTCTATAGAAAACTTCTTAACCAAATTGCTTGACAAACATAGGATACAAAAAAAAACATATTCCACTTCACAACTTGAAAGCGAAATAATGGTTTGCTTATTTGATGACCATGTAAAAGTCGCATCTCCCATAAAGAATATATGACCACTCGTACTTTTTCGATCATGGTTATCTCCGTCCCAATAGCTATCGCTATAACATCAAGCTTTATCATCCATATATGAATTAAATAAACCAAACCAGATAGTTCCTTTAAGGTATCACAGAATTCTTTTCACAACCTCCAAATGTGTAGTTGTAGGAAATCTCATGTATCAACTAACAAGTCCAACTCCAAACAAAATATCAGGCCTTGTACATGTTAAGTACATCAAAATTCCAACAATACTCTTATAAAGAGTCAATCAATTTTTCTCATTCATCAAATTTTGACAATTTTACCCCACAATCAACAGGGGTTCACATGACTCTAGAACTGAAGGCTAATTGGCGCAGGTAGGGTTTTGCTTTTGTGTTTGATCAAGGATCTTTCTTCGCGTTGATCTGTAGGCTAAAACAACAGATATTGGAATATGAATATGGTGTTCGAAGGATACTCTATTGACTTATGACAAGGCTCCACCAAAGATGGATAATATTTTGATCTTATGTTGAATCTAATCAATGTGTTTGGATCTTCAATCATGTAATCTCTAATGTAATATAATGATTCAACACGCCTTGGGATGTTCACGGAGCTGTATATTTATAGTGGAGGTGTTTGGGATGAAAAGGAGATAAAAAATAAATGGTATACGCAAATTGGGATTGTTGTGTATTCGAGCGAAATCCTCACGGTAAGCGAGCGATCGTCCTACCGCTCAAGCGTCAGGCTCACGCCAAACAAGTGGCAGAGTTCCTATTTTGAGAGCTTGAGTGCCACACGTGCGGGAAACGAGCGCCTGTGACTCTGTCTTTGAATCAATTTCTTGAATTCCGAATCTTGATCTTTTTATTGAATTTCTTTGACTTTTTTTTGGAATCTATCAACTCCAAATTATTTTTACTATGACTAAGACTCAAATAAATCTTATTTTCACTTTGATTATAACTCAATACAATTCATTTAAAACTTGATTTTGATTAAAGAAATTGTCAATTATAAATTTGGACTTGACACTATCATTTTCATGCTTGGTTAAGGTTAACTATGGCCAATATAGTGTTATATGATTCTAGTTGTATTCGTTCATTATTTCGTGTTTTTTTTTCTCCATTTGGTTATATGGTTCTTTGTATGAAGTATTTCACTTGTTTGGTACTATTGTTTTTTAAAACTTTGATCCACCTTCATTTTTTAATCACAAATTTTATTGTATCTACAACTTATATCCATTTTTCACTGGGCATTTCATGGATCCACCAACATTTATCAACTTTTAACAACACATCCCAAAATATGATGTTGTAAATTAAATTGTTTGGGTAAGTCAATTAAACAAACACCAACAGGGTGTAGTTGATGTCATCATATCGATTTTACAAAATAATTTTCAACTATTTGTATAGAAGTATGGATTTCAAGATTTTGCTTTCGTATAGAAATTATTGATTTTATGTTTCTATGAACCAATTTTTGATTATTATCAAATGAAGTAAGGATTTGAAGATGTTAAAGATTGGTAAGAAATCATTGTGAAGTCCTAGAACTTGACATCGTAAAAGTCACTCAAAACATATTTTATTATTAAAAACAAGGGCTGTTTCATTCAATATTAATCAGTAACGAGTCGAAAATGTTTTTACCACCAAATGACTTCGCTGAGATGTCTGTTGACATACTAATTTTTCGTGGAACCTATTTTAATTTTCAAGAGTTCATAATAATTTCAAATCCTAAAGAATAAAGATAATGAAGGTTAATATAATAAAAAAAA